AACAACAAAGAAAAAACTAAACCAGTTCAAATTAGTTTTTTAGTACAATAATAACAATAACAATTACCACAATAATAAACAATATTAATTATACTTTACTATCCATGTCAATAAAAACAATATCAACAAGTAGCAAAAAATTAATAGAATGGATTATTAAGCCAAATCTGGAATTTCCTTAGAAACTTTACTTTTATTTATATAGATTTATAGTTTAAATAACTTAGTTATAGTTTCAGTAGTCCATATTATTATAGCTCTGGTTTATTTTTTTCTTTCAACTTTCTTTTACTTTCAAATTCTTTTATATTCAATTAAAAAAAAACTCTGAGTAAGTAGTATTAATAGAGAACTGATATGAGGTGTGACTGTATAAACATATTTTAGTACATCATATATTCTAATTTGCAATAATCAATAACTTATAGTCTATAGTTATACAGTATGTAAAATCATAATATAATTTTAGAAAAGCTTAAATTAGCCATAATCTTAAATAGCTTATTAATTACAAATAGTCTATCAGAGTTTAAGAAAAATTGCATAACACAATTATAGCTTAATAAAGGCACATTAAATAAAATAAAAAGAAGAGAATAGTAGCATGGAAAAGAAAAGAGAATAAAAAAAACTAAAAAACTAAAAAGAAAAGAAAACAATAATAAAAAAAACTGTTTCCTAAATTAAAAACTTCTTAATTAAGACATGTAATTACTGTTGTCTAACTAAATAAATTTTAATTAACTTATCTAATCCAGTACTTGTTATAAAGTAAGATGATTGAAACTACAAAAAGAAAAGTGATAAAGATTTGTCAAGGAAAGTGAATAACAGAAAGAGAAAAAAAAAAGTTAGTAAAATTTGGCTAAACAAATTTTACATCTCAAGTAAAGAAGTCAAACATCTATCTGACATTATATGAGAAGTGCTTTGGAAAAGTGATGGACTTGCCAAGAGAGATATTAACAATAGTATAATAATATATCTATAATATATCTAATGAAAGTTAAAAAAAATTCTTTTCCCTTATATCCAATTTATTTTTTAGGAAACTTTCAAAAATTAAAATATAAAAACTTTATAAGACTTACTTTATATAATTATTTAAAAAAACAAACAAAAAAACAAGATTAGAAGATCTTCAAATAAATATTAATTCTTAGAAAAGAAGATAAAAAAATACATTTTCTGATTTATAGTAAGATTGCAAGAAGCTAACATTCACTATCACTATTATAGCCAGTTATGTATCAGATTAGATATCTTATTAAACAATATAGTAACTCAAGAAAATTCAAATTTTATTTGATAAATTAAACCAACTTGCTATCTTCCTTGAGCTAGAAGAACATTAGGACCTTCTATCAATTGTATAAAGTTGAAAAATTTTTATTTTTTACTATTTTTTTTTGATAGATTATTTTTTTATTTGATTTGTATATTAAAAAGTATATGTATAATTTTTTGGTTTTTTTTTATATTTTTATAATAATATATAAAGAAATTTTAAATTTTTTAATTTTAATTTAATATTTTATATATTTTTCTTTAATTTCAATAATTTTTTTATATGATTAAAATTAAATGATGGATTATACTCAAGCTATTATTTATCTATTTGTTTTATATTGTTTTCAACAACTTTAATTTGAACTTAAATAAGAATTACTCTTTTGTATATAATAGTTTAAATAATTTTATAAATTTTTAATTGAATTAAAATTCAATTTTGTATCACTTAATCTAAAATTCAAAGATCATGGATTGTTACGCATCAAATTATACATAAAAATGTGTAATATAATATATTGTCTTGTTAAAATATAATATTTGTATTTTCATGAATCCAAGATATAACAATAATATTAATATATATTTATTTATTTGTATTTTCTATTACTTATACTAAAGGATCAATTCTGTTTCAATTAAACCAATCTCAAGATATTACAAATTATTTATTAACTTTAGTTATATGTATTGTACAGTTTTTTTAAATAATATTTTTTTATTATTTACTCCAGTTTTTTTTCTTTATATTATAGCAATTATATAATTTGTTGTTTTTTAGTTAAAAGAGGTTTTTTGTATAATATGAAACTTTTAAGACCTATATTATAAAAATATTTGTAAACTGTATTAATCAATAAACTAATATTTAATCCTATTTAATTTATTTGTAATTTTATCAAGAAAAGCAAACCAATCTTCATGAACAATATGTTTCAAAACATGTTTTTTATATTCAAAAAGTTTTTTGATCATTTTAACTATTTTTTTGGCTATATGATACTTTTTTCATCATAATGCTTTATTGTATTGTAAGGGACTATCCAAACCCTTTTCTACTACTACTGTTTTAAGGCTGAGGTGCAATAATTTGTCTGAGTTTCTTCCTTAAACTCTACAAAACAAACTCACAATTCACCAATACACATTCATGATGAAACAACTACTCAAACTGTCACTTAGTTTCTTTTGCAGAAGTTCCCCTATTTTATTTGATTTGACCTTTCCTTTATATACAGTACATGCTAATATCATAGTAAAATTATAACTATAACAACTATTTTAACTATTATAACTATTTCTACTATAATTGCTATAATTGCTATAACCAAGAAAAGACATATAAGAAATAAATCAACTATAATGAAGATATCTCGGATTTAGAGATTCGGGATCATCATGACATCAGTCCATGTGACGATGCAAATCTCCTCTCACTACTATATGTTTTTAATATTTTTTCCTGCATATTTATTTTTAAAGAGTGATCAGGATCTAATTTAGCAAACATAATATTATTACATGATAGAAAAGTAGTGAATTGGTTTTATATGACCAATATTAAAAAAAAATATCATAAATATTTATAATTGTTTAATAAGTCCACGTATAAGGCAATTTGACAATTTTTACTTCTTTCGCAGCATCATCCAGTAAAATTCTGCTCACATTTTTTGCTAATACGTCATCATCAAAGTCTTTAAACTTAATCCTGTCGAATCTGTATCAGGGATAGAAAGTTTGTAAATAAAACCTTTTGAGACTTAAGGCTAGAGGCCTAAATAATTTGGTCCAATATCCTATCAAAAATTAGTCATAACTATATTTTACAGATTCATATTATAGTCAGTTTCTCATACTCGTATATCTAACTCTAACACTTATATGCTGTTTCGTTATCGATAAGTCGGAACTAGCATTCACGTAGTAATAGCTAATTTAAAACTTGCTATTTCTCTTGAGGCGTGATGACTTGGCGTAGTTACTAATAAACTTCCTTCTTTTTTGTTCTACCACAAGTCTCATTTTGCGTCCATACTGGATTCTCCTGAATCAACAAATGTTCAATTTTTCGAAAAAATACAATTACTGTATGAAACTTCTATTTGATCTAACGTTGCGTCATACAAAGTTATCATCAGATTCATTGGTCATGTCCCATGTTTTTAAATTATAAATTAAATAATCGAAATAACTATCTAGATAAGATAAACCAAATAAACTATATAAACTATATAAGGGTTATAGCTAATATTCTCGCTATATATGCTATCTAATTAATTCATATCAAATTCTGTCGCGCCACGTTTTCCCTTTTACAATTCACAACTCACCAATTTCATCTCTTGTTTAATCGGCCCCTTCTATGAAAGTATTTTGGTGAGGAGACCCAGTTTTCTAAAAATTTTATTAAACGTTCCTGAAATCTTAGAATTATTCATGCTATTAGCATAAATTATTTCTTTAACGTGCGAAAGTATTTCCTTAAGTGCAGTTTCATAGGCCTTTTGTTGTTCACTGATATCACTCCTTGGTGCATGTGCGGCAATATCTGCTAAGCTATGTTTTAAATGTTTGCAGATGAATCTGAACACCGCTTTATTATGTTGCGCTTTTTCCGAAAGTTCGATTATTCGTTGGGCAAGATCGGCCGCGCTACATCCGATAAATGGCATAGCTCTAACCACTAATAATGTAACATTCTGGGTAACAGCTTCGAACAATGGTGAAAGATTAGTGTTGCCAAAGGGTTGCCTTGGTAATAAAGACTGTTGCCACCCTTTAAGAACACCCGGTATATTTTCATGCATTTGTCTGCTTTTAATTGGATTATAGCAGAGGAAATGAACGAGTTCTAACGATTGTCTGACCTCACTTCGCAAATTTTGAAGAATCGTTGCTGCTGATATATTTTTGTCAACTTGCATGTCCTCTTGTCGAGTGTCTAATGCTTCATAGCTATCGTGTATTGATATTGAATCTTTTGGGTAAAAATTGGTATTATAAAGACCTTGATTTAAAGATTTTTCGTCACTATCACTGCAATCTTTTAAAAGGAAACGGTCTGTTAAAATAAAAATTATTTCTTCAATACTCGGTCTTTCATCTAGTGTTACACTTCTACATCTTTTATACAATTGAATTATTTTTTTAGGAGTTCCTTCAATCGGATTGAATGATTGAAATGGAGGTTGGCAACTCGATATCTCCCATAAAAGAACTCCATAGCTAAAAATATCCGATTTTTTATTTCTTTTAAACTCAAACGTAAGAAAGCACTGAGGGTCAATATATCCTGGCACTCCTTTAACAATCGAGTTAGATGTCGTAATTTCATCCAAAGATTTTGAAAGACCAAAATCTGCTATCATCATTCTACCATCATGTACTAAAATGTTCTTAGAATGCTAAATAGGGAATTCAATATTAATATATAACCAATAGTGTAAATTTTCAAAAATTTAAAGATAGCTACCAAGTCTCTATGGATAATATTTTTCGAATGCAGGTAGTATATCCCTTGTGCAATATCTAAAGATATTAATCGTTTATCCTCCCATCTAAGTGAATTCTTATGAGTCGCTAAATATTCACGAAGATTTCCTTCATTTGCATATTTTAATACAAGCATATACATTTGACTTGTTGAATCTGAAAATAAATTTATTTAAAATTGGATTTTAAAACATAAGTTTTATACCAAACATTTACTAACCTTTTGTTACACCATAGAATTGATTAAGGTTAGGATGGTGTAAAACTTTGAGCAATTTTATCTGATAAAATTCTAATATTAAAATCTTATTATAAAATTTTTGATTGGATTTTCTTAATTACCTCACGTTTAAATTCCAGTAAAGATTCTTCATCTAGTTGCGATTTATCGGTTTTCAGACGCTTCAATGCTACCTTTCTTCCAAATGTTGCCCATTCGGCATATTCTATTATACCAAAACCTCCCCTTGCAATTTCTTTGGTAATAGAAAATTGACTATAATCGAAAGAGTTAATGTCACCATCTTTTACTGCATCTTCTAACCATTTGAACTGATTAATAGAACCTGGTATTTATTTAAAGGACCCTGTTTATATACAGTATAGTTATTTATTATTATTAAATAGACAATTTAATTACCTGACATTTTAATTTAATTTATTTATGTTGAACTTATGTATAGATATAGATCCTGATTTAAGAACCTGAGTTTAGTTATACTGTGATGATTTAAAGAAAAGTTAAAGACGGATGTATACGATTTGATGCAACATGTATTATAATATAATATATATACTGTATATAGTGTTGGTGTCACTATTTGCATTCTGTTATACTGTATACTGTATATATTGTAACACGAGATTTCTTGCTAAGCAGTGCCTCCGATTACTGATTGGCTCGGCTAAGAAATCATTAAGGATATAATTAAAGAACTAATATATAAATGTTATTTGATATAATTCAAATGTTTTATTATAATCAAAATGCAAATTGATTTTTTTTATAAAAAGATAACAATGAATAATATTATAATTTGAATGATTTTACTTATTAGTAGCAATATATCTACATTAAAAAATCTACTTTAACAAAACGGACATAGCAGGAGGCACAAATAAAAATTTATGTATTTGTCAATATAATAAAGAATTAGTAATTTTTTTGTTATCAATTTAAAGAATTATGGATATGATACTGGAAAACAATTCAAAGACAATGGATATATTAAAAACTTATAAAATTTTTTATTTATTTGAAATTTGCATAAAAGTCAAAAATCAAATTATGAAAAATAAATTAAATATCAGTAGAGCTTGTAAAAAAAAAATTAAATTCAAATTTACTTATAGCTACTAGTTATACTTTGAACCTTTTTGTTATCTCTATATTATAACTTTATAGAAATTAAAAATTTGAATATATTTTCTATTCTAATAAGCAACCTTTGACTATTCTATTTTTCATATTTTTAAAATACAATTTTTATTTCTAGTTGATATTGTTATCGTCACTGGTGAGTCTGTTGGTAAAATGGTTCACTCTTCATGTGATAATAGTCTGAATGCTTGAATTTTGGCACTAAATAAGGTAAGGCTTTAACTCCGAGGTGGTTACAATTTGACCAACTTGCACACTTGCTAATCTCTTTTTGATCATCTTTTCCTCTAGATGCATTTCAAGATTACAAGTGTCACTCTTACAATGCAAAAGGTAATGTCATATCTTTTCCTTCTTAAAGGTATTTATTTTAATGTAGTGGAATGGACTTTGTGTACATTTTAAAGAATGTATCTTGTTTATTATACTGTTGGCAAGAAACTGATGTGAGACATGACTGCACAAACACATTCTGGCACGTTACATACTCTGATTTGCAATAATCTGGAACCTATAGTCTATAGCGACATGTAAAAATAATGATGTAATTTTAGAAAACTTAAATTAGCCATAACCTTAAAAAAGCTTATTGATTACAAATATTTTATCAGAGCTTAAGAGGATTGCATGGCATAATTGTAGCTTAGCAAGGGTACACGAAATAAGATAAATAGAAGAGAAAATTGTAGAAAGAGAGAGTCACATAGTACGTAGTACAAATAATAAGAAAAACCATTCCCTAAATTAAAACCTTCTTAATTAGGACATGTGTTTATCGTTGTCAAACCAAGTAAAAACTAATTAACTTACCTAATCCAATACTTGTTTCGAGATAGGACGGCTGAGATCACAAAGGGAAAAGTGGTAAAGATTCGTCAAGAGAAGCGAGCAACGGAAAGAGAAAGAAAGCGTTAGTAGAACTTGGCTAAACAACTCACATGCCTCAAGTCGAGAAGCTAAACATTTACCAGACATTACGTGAAAAGTGCTTAGAAGAAATGACAGACTCGCCAAGAAAGACATTAACAATATAAAGTGAAATAGCATTTATTTCAATAAAATATGAGTATATAAAACAAGTATTTCAAAATGAAGCTCTAAAATTGCAGACCTAGAACCCCCTGCTCCAAACTATATAAACTATCTATTTATATGCCTTTCTGACACATGTTTACCCAGTATATGCTATTATCAATTATTATATCATTCTACCATCACCAACACTATTGTTATGTAGTGCACCACAATATTGCATTCCTATCCTGATTGTTCTTACAACAATATATATTGTTATAATTATTAGTAATACTATTTTTAGATTATTCTTTTAGATTATTCTTTTATTTTATTATCTCTATTATTGGTTATTTAGCATATTGTACAAATATAGTATTTCTGCTGGATATAATTGATATGCCAAATCAGTCAGATCAATCAAAGCAATTTTATCAAGTATATAAGACATATTTGATAAAACTGACATATTCTATTTATTGTTTATTTCTATTTTTTTATGTTTCAAACATATATAAATAGAATAGTTGTTTTTCTCAACTATTCAAAAAATTTTTTAACTTTTCTATCTTTTTTTAATAAAAATTAACTTGAGCCTATAAATTAAATCATTATGTCTCTTGACTTGTAAATAAATCTTTTTTACTTTATCAATACTAATATATTACAGCTGAAGTTATTTTTCTCTAAAATAAATAGTTTTTTATTACTGTTGTCTATTGATTTATTTAATTTTAAAATTTAATAAATAAGTTAATAAATTAATAGTAATTGTAAGATTCTAATCTATAGGATTTTAATTATAAGATTTGAATACTATTACAATATATATTATTTTTTGTAAAATCCTAACTTAGGAGATCTTAACCTATAGAATTTTAACTATAAAATTTTCATTTGTAAAATATAAATATTACTATAATATTTAAATTTACTATATGGGTTATAACTCATTATCATTTTTAATAGTGTTTCAAACCTTATGTAAGTCTATATGAATCTGTTCAATTTCAATTTTTGAGACTATATTCAAAAGTCTATAGTAATCTTCTCTAAAGATTTGAATCTCTGAAGGAAAGAAGGAGAGTGTTGTTTATATACAGTGAACTCTTTCTAAATGCACACCCCTTGGGACCATAGAAAAATTTTTGAAAAATATGTATTTATAGAGGGTGTGCATTTATGGAGGTAATTTTATTAAGAGTTCTATATACTTGGGATCAAGCTTGACTGTGCATTTACAGAGAGAAAATATAGTAAGTGCATTTATAGAGGGTGCATTTAGGGAGGTCTCTCTGTTTCCTAATAAAGTATTTTTGTTTTAAACTTTATATATAGGTTTTTTTTGTATTTACTTGCAAAAAAACAAAAGATTTATTTCAAAGAGAGAAAAAAACAAGTAGGAAAAGACTAAAGTCTTTAAATAATAATGTTGTTAAAGAAAGTATATAGATTTTATTATAAAGAAATTTAAAATTTCATTGAAATATCTGTTTTTTGAATTGGCAAAAGGATTAGCAAGAAAGCTTTGTTATTGAAAATATCATTTATTAAATAATATTAATTTATATTTAATGATCTGTAAGTCTATAGTATAGTAATTAATACTCTACAGATCAAATCACAAGATACCAGTTCAACTTCATATAAGAATGATTGAATAGAATTAATATGATATCTGGTACCATAATCTGTATAAGCACTGTTTCTTATAAAAAGCTGTTTCACATGCTAATCCAACAGGCATTGAGATTATGATTTTCAAAAAAGATGTCATGACGCAACAATTGTCTAATTGGTGTTATAATGATTATCAATAGTTGTAAGGTATATGAGGTGTTCACTTTCAATAGGATGACTTGGTAATTGTTTTCCCATGGTACCTGGTGTCTCTTCCTACAAGTTTTCAGAAAGGTCTTATTTCAATTCAATAATAGATCGCTTCAACAGTTACCTATTCCAAGAAGGCAGCCAAAACAGCAATAAGTACCAATAGCTGAAACAATCTATGGGCAGTAAGTTTGTGAGATAAGTGCCTTAAATGTTCTTGAGTAGCTTTAAAAAGGTGAAAATTAAATAATACACCTATCTGCAGATGGTTGGGTTTAGAAAAATTTTCTCTGCAGGGGTTTTATTCACTTAAATATATACTACTTCCAGTTCTCCTCTTCATATTTCCCCTTAATACATTCACAGTTAGAAATAGAACCTTCCATATAATAATGACATTGATAGAGCTTTAGCACATTAGCCTTGACATATGTAGATTTCCAAATTTATAATCAATAGTAACAAGCTGATATGGAAATAAAATCCAATGTAGTCTAGTGATATCTAAAGTAATTTATAGATAGCTTCCTTCTGTAATACATAATATTAAGCATATATAAATTAAATAAAAGAATATATAGGCATGGCTTAGCTAGTCAAACAAAAAAAAATTAATTTATATCTAGAATAGCAATAGTTAAACCTATAAAAACATTTTCCATTGATCCTTTTGCCAATCCAAAAACAGATGTTTTCAAAAAATTTTATATCTTTCTAATAATAAAGTCTATATATATTCCTTAACAATATTTGTTCTTTAATTAGCAAAGTATAAGCAGTAGTTATTACTTGTTTTATTTTTTCCTTTTTAAAATACTTTTCCTGTTTATTTTTGTAACTAAATACAAAAAACATATCTAAAAAACTTATAGCAAAAATATCTTTTTAAAAAAAAACTGACAAGAAAAAACACATTCCAAAGGTTTTCAAGAGATTCAAGAATCCAGAGAAACAAGAATAAAAAAGTTTTTAGTCTTTCTATTATTTTTTTGACTTTCTACTTTTTCTTTCTCAAGCATGCCTTTTTTTTTCTAATTTTTTTGAAAAATTTGGCCTACTTCAATTTGACCCTGAATTTTTGGTTACACCAGATCCTCTAAAAGATAATTGGTTAAGACTATGGATTGGTTGATTACATCAGTTATAGAAAAAGTAAACAAAACATGTACTCCCATATGTTTCCAGTTATGCAACACAAAATTGATAATATGATTGGTTCTTGAAAAACTGGATGATTTTTAGTTAAAGGAATAATATAAAAATATTGGATAAAGCAGAAGTTATAAATAGAAAGAGAAACAGTATCTTTTTTTGTTTTCCTTTTTTTCTTCTTTTTTCTTCTATTTTTTCTTGAGAATAGAAAGTAGCAACAAGATCTAAGTCCTATTCCAATTTGGCAACAAGTTAAAGTATTGATATTTATCCTAAAAATAGTTGGAAAAAGAAGTTCTAATACTATTCACCAGTTGAATAAAGCAATAATTCTAGAAAGATATATCTTGAAAAAAAAATTAACAATAAAAAATTAATATCTTTTTTAATTGAAAGTCTTCAAGTATAAAGTTTCAAGAAATACTCTTCTGGAAATATCCTTAAATATTCTTGGACATTGATCACTTTAATGGAAATTAAACAGTCTGGCTAATTACAAGTAACGAAAAGTAAGAAATTATGAAGAACTTGAATTTTAAATTTATCGAAATAATATTTTCAATAATAATAATTAGAATAAATAATAGCTTTTTTTATTTTTTTTTTCAATTACTTCTTATATGTACAATTGTATTGTTTTTTTCTTCTATTTTTTTTTTAACTTTCTTTTTTTCTTATATAGTTTTTACAAGAGAAGATAATACAATTTGGATTTATAATTATGACTATAGAGGTGATCTGCAAGTTTTAATTCTATTGAAATATTGAAATCTTAATTCTTTTTAATAGAAAACAACATTTACTTTTATAAATTATATCTAGAAGCTTCAGCTATTGATAAGTGAATTAGGTTAAGAAAATTTATATTTTGCAAGTATTCTTATACTTGTAATAGTTTAATATTCGATTAAATAAATAAGCAACTCTAGTTTGATTGCAGGATTAAAAAAAAAACAATAGTTTAACTTATAAAAATGTTTAATGTAATAGTAAAATATTAATTATTTATAAAATTCTATATCTAATGTTTATTATCAATTAAAAAAAAATGATAATTTAACTTTATTTATTAATTATTTTTGTTATGATTAAATATATATATATCAAATTCTCTATATAATTTGAAGATTAACCTATATAAAATAATTACAATATCTTAATAAGGCTATATTATTTATTTCTATATTTTATTAATTTTATTATTATATATTAAATCAAAATTTTTTTTGAAGAAACATGTGGTTCTATGCACTATTTTTATTATAAATTTTAGACTTGCAAGTACAATATTTACAATTTTATGACATACTGTAGTATACATCTCTCTTTGCTAAAAAGAGTTTAATATAAGACTTACAATTGTGGTCCACCTGCTTGAGCTCCTTATCATCACTCAAAAATATAGAAAAAGGAATTCAAAACCTATATTATACCTTGAATGGCATCTAGCTACTTAAAGAATTTGATTACCTAATTATATAAAGGCATTGCAGCTACTATATACAGATTGGCTTTCAAGTTATAACTAAAATTGGTATACTTGTTTTTCAACTGTAGCTTGATATATTACAAGTGGGCAAGAGTTGATTCCAAGCTATATTAACTTCAAATATACTAAAATAAAGCAGATCTTCCACTATTTGTATCTAATATTGACTCTTTATTCAAATCCATTACTAGAACTACTTTAACACTAATGCAGCCCTTTGGTAATATAATTTTTTACCATTTTTATCTAGTATAGATCTTCTATTTTGAAACCCATTATTAGGACTATAGGCTAAGAGGCAACAATTAATCTTACTGTCAGAATAGTTTCAAAGGGTACATTTTGGTTTTAGGATAAGATGAAGCTGGAGAGTATAAGAACAAGTTTAAATATAAGGTAGTGGTTTGTTGAAAAGAGTGACAAATATATAATGAAATTAGATTTTTTAAAGATGTTGATACCTAACCTTGTACAATAAGCCTACATTGTTGGAAAAGTAAGCAAAGAACTTTCATTATCTTCTTCAACCCATATTGCAGGAGTAATTAGAATTTCTGGTCTTTACGTATTATCTTACTAAATTCTTCAATCACTAGTATAACACCAACAGACTAATCTAGCTTATTGTTAGCTGCATTACATTGATTACTATATCCTCTGGATACAATAATACACAACTTCTTGGATATTTTCAGATAATAATAGTTGTATACTAGTTTCTTAGATATATCTAGTTTAGCTATTAACAAGTAAACAATACTGGATTTGATATTGATGACCATATCAATCTTTTGGAGAAGGTAAACCATTTATCCTTTTTCTATAAGACTATGGAAGAAAGAAAAATTCTAAAGCTTATGTCTTGAGAAAAGCTATCACTTCTAAATATGGTCTTAAAAAAAGAAAGCCAACTGGCCAAAGGAGTGATATTATAAAGAGCAAAATTTATAAAGGAAAAGAGACCTAAAAAGAAAACCTTCAGGAAGAAGAAAAAACCTAACTTTGGCAAAAAAATGAAAAAGAGAAAGGAAAGAGGTAGAGTAAATAAAAGAGTATATAGAAAAGAGGGAAGAGAATAAGGAAAGGAGAATAAAAAGATATAAGAGAAGGAATATAAAGAGAAAGAAAAAGGAAAAAATGAAAAAAAGTAAACAACTCAAAAATTTCCTAAAAAGAAAATTTTCAAGCATAGAAGGGAAAGTAGGAAAGAGTTTTTTTTTTTATATATTAAATCAATTTTAAAAAGTAAGAATATCAAATTTTAATTATAATTTGAAAGCAAATTTGTATATTTGACTATAGCACCTTTATTTGAATATTATATATTTCTAGTTTTTTTTTTAACAAGAAATAAATATATGAATTTTATTGAATATTTTATCATTAACAATATATTAATAATTATTTATACAGTAAATAATTAATGTTTGTTAAAACTATTAGAGGTTATATGTTAATTCTAAAAAATTTTGTAAAAAAAGAAAAAATAAGTAAATAATGGCTAGCTACTAGTTATATTATGTATCATACATATGTACTTACTAAATGTATATTGAGAGAAATATAACTTATGTGTTTGTAACTTATGTGACTTATTCAAAACAGGTTTTATGTTTACAACTAAATCTGAAAATCAAATTCTGCAACTATAGGTCTTGTTCATACTAGGGGCCTGAATTTCAATATAACATGATCATTTTGTGTCGATTTTTAAAGAAATAAATTGACCATAGTTTTTGACAATATTAAAAAGTGACAAATACAACAAATAAATATCTCTACGAAACTTTCTTTTAATTGATGTCAATAGCAGAACAAGATGTGAAACAAAAATACTTCTTTAGAAAAATACTTCTAACTAATCTATAATAGGCAGGTCAAGATTCAGCCATATAAAAATTATATATATTTAGTCTCAATTGTTTACAGGACATTATTATCAGTGACCTATATCTATATCTTAAGAGCTTAATAGTTATCTAATAATTGTAGAAGAATATTTTTAGTTGTTTAAGATCTTTTAATTAAAATGTTTTTGTTGTCACCTTTTCTAAATTAAATACTCTTAGATATGAAATTTAAGAGTTTACACTCTTTTGTTTAATATTCACTTAACCTTAAGAAAGATATTATATTTAATTAAAATAATATCTTATATAGCTTAAGTGTTGATGATATGACTCATAAGTAAAGAAAATGAAGTTTAAAAAAAAACCTTTAAGTAAAGAAAAAATTATTTATTGGCAGGAAAAGATAATTAGATAAAGGAAGAAAAAAAAAGAGTAATAAAAGAAGTAAAAATCACTATACTAAGATATATAAATGATCAGATATATACAGAGTCTTGCAAATAAAAAGATTGGCTATCCAAACTTTTTTTTTTCTATCTTAGACTACTGTCTTGTACAAGCTATATCTAAAGTAAACAAAAGAAAAAAGAAAGGAAAAGAAAAAAAATTTCTATAAAAGAAAGTTTTTTGACAAAATGAAAATAAGTTGAAAAGAGTTTTTTTTATAATATTTCTAGTTTTCTACTAGTTACATATTTGTGACATTCCATATTACAACATATAATATTTCATATCAAAAAGTTATAAACAAGATATTGTTTATAATAATAAAGAAAAACATTATTAAACATGAAAAGACCAAACAACTCTTTTATTTCTCAAAAGAAAAAGAGCTTCCTTATATATATGTTTTTTCAATATAAATAAATATAATAAAAATACATAATTAAAAATATACATATAATCTTATTGATTTTTTGAAGATTATATGTACTTAATTAATTAAATAAAAAGAAAAAGAAAAGATAAAATAAACAATAAATAAAATACATACAGTATAAAACTTATTTTGTAATCCATATTAGTCAAATAAGATAAACACTATAAATACTATTGATATTTTATCAGATATCAGTGACCTTAATTTATTTAACTCAAGTTCTAGTTATCACAAAGTGTGATACTTATCCAAATATTTTACAGAAATATAATTTCTTTAATATTTCAAGTCCCAAATATTCTAAAGAGAGATAAATAAAGACATGGTATTTTAGTTACTTTTTTCCTTCCATTGACTTGTTTGTGCCACTTGTGTGACTTACTTAGTATTACCCACTTTGTTATTAATACTGTTATATTATTATTTAAAATTAAATATTAAGCTTTAATATTTTTTTTTCATTACTTGAGCAGTTAATAAAATTAAGATAAATAAATTAATTTTTTGAAGTTTAATTAAACTTTTTTTAGTAAAAAATGATGTACTGTATATTAATTTAATATTATAATAATATTATTATATTAAGTAATTAATTATAAATAAAAAGTTTAATTAATAATTGTTTTAGTTTCAAAAAAAAAACAAATAAAACAAATAAATTATCAAAATAATAAATATAAAACACAATATAACAAGTATTTAAATACAATAAAAATATATGAATATATATATTAGTAAGAATAATATTAGATAATACTTTTGAAAAATAGATAAAAATATTTAATTAAAATTTTAAAACTATTTTTTTTTGAAAATTATCAAAAAAATAATTGATATAAACAATAAAATATTGGAATTTTGATTAAAATAATTCTTTTTTATTAATAAAAGCATATTTTAATTATTTAAAGCAAAAAAAAAGTTTAACAGTTTGAAAAAAAAAATTAATTATATAATCAAATATTTATAAAAAATTTATATATAGAATATTTTTTTATTTTTAAATTTGACAAATTAATATGTTTTTCTTATAATTTTGATAATAATTTTATATATAAAAGTTATAAATAGAATCTTTAACCTTTGTATTTGTATTTTTTAATAAAAGTAATTTAAATTAGTTTTTATTAAAAGATCATAACTTTAAATATTAATTATAAATTATAAAAAATAAAAGCAAAAAAAAATATAAATATATTTTTCTAATCATTAATATTCTAGCTCAAAATTATATTAAGTATATATAAAATATATTAAAATTAAACATTAAAAAAATTAGATTAGTTAATAATTTTTTAAATAAATAAAAATTATTTTTCAATTAATCTTAATGTACAATTGATAAGTAATATGAAATATTAAATTGTTGTATTAATAAAGTTCAATAGTAATCATACAATATATTAAATTTTTAGTTAGTTCAGTTATTTAAAACAAAAATTTTTTTTTGGGATTATATAAATAGGAATGATATAGATACTTATAACTAAGATTATAAAATTATATTTATTGAATATATTATAAATATTAAGTATATGTCAACATATAAAATATATAAAATCTTTAATATATAAGATCTATTGAATATTATAATACTTTAAATACAAAAATCAACAAATCTTTTTAAAAAAACAAAACTAAAATATCAAAATAAAAAAAAAAAAAAATCATTTAAATAAAAAAAATTCTTTGTTGGAAATTTATTTATAATACGTGCATTGTTTTTTAAATATAATAAGGTTTTCAATAAAACTAATTTCTAACCAAAAATATGTATAAACAATTTTTAGACAAACAAGAAATTGATATTAAAAATTGGAAATAAATTAAAAAATAAATTAAAATATAATTGAAGAATGTATATAATAAATATTATTTCAAAACAAATTAATCTTAAGCATGTATGATCTAATCTGTTGTAAAAAGTATCGAACCAACTTTTTAAAATAATCATTTAGGTTAGATTAAACTTTAAATCGAGTTTTTTTATAAACATAATAATTAATGAAATATATGTTTTCATTAATTTATATACTGCATATAAATTTGCACATGTCAACTGATAAAGTTTATTGTCCCGCTAGTAAAAAAACCGAAATTTATTTTTGAACTTTATATAAACATTCGGCTCTGTGCAATAATTGATATCATGACTGTTTTATGTTCATGTATACTTGTTAAATCTTGTCAATCGTGTTATATTTTACGATACGATTTATTCAAACACAGTTTTATCAAATATTCTCTATAGTCCAACTATATAAATAATTTATTGAGACTCAATAATATTATTAGCAACAGAAGCACCAGAGATTTCTGTATTTTTAACATCATCACCAGTATTGATAATGGGAATCACCTCTTTTCTGACAATCCACGCCTCTAGTTCAAGGTCTATATCATC